ACACACACACACACACACACACACACACACACACACACACACACACAAACACACTTTTTCAGGGCAGCTGTGACAATGGGGCTGACTGAGTGAGGCTAATCCTTGAGGGCTGCTCCCTATTATTAAGGTATAGACATAGAGAAGAAACCACAGCAGGCACAGAGGACCGGTTAACACCACCAGGCGTCTGTAGGATGGGAAGAAAATGCTTCCAGTCGGTACAACAGGCACGTTCTCGCCCAAAATATGAGGCAGCGTCTGGCAGCATGTGGGTCAGCAGGTCAGATTTTTGCCCAAGAGCCTCTGACTGTCGCGGAGAGATGACATCACGCGATTTTCCCGGCCTCGGCTTGAACCCGTGCCGCATGAATCAACGTCTCGGCGAGCTGACAGCTGGAAGCTCCAGCGCACTGGGAAGGAGACACTTTAGTGAGTCACTGGTGGGGAACCACGTTTGGATGTAAGGGGAAGATTTACAATCTGGGATACATAACCCTTTACCCCTCAGAGGCGTTTTAAGAACAGAAAACAACCTCAAATAACACGTCTGTGTCCACTGGTTTTCATGCCAGCAAAGGTTCTATTTGAGTTGAATGCAACTCCAGAGACTCTTTAGTAATAACACGTGATTAACAGATATGCTTTCAGGACTCGGCATTGTGTGATACAGAGGCTTATTTTGGAACCAGACAGCAGACAGGAGCTTGTTTAACTACCATCCACAGACTGCAACATGTCTCATCCCCCAAAGGAAAACCAGAAGCTCCTCCAACAGCACCGGTCTCAGGCCGGTCAGCCGGTCACTTTAACCACCCAGCTATGCAGACTGGCCCCTAAAAGAGAGGCGCTCCTCCTCACTGGAAAGGTTATTTCACGCCATAGTTGGAGCAGCTGCCCTGTGCCGTTGAAACAGGCTGAATCCAATAATAGCCTGTCTGCCAGTTTATTATTCTAGTTTTTTATGAGCCATGCTTTGTGAGGACGGTTTTGTAACATGCTGTATAGTGTAATGATATCATTTCTATGGTAAAAACAGCTCCAGCTATTATTTCAAAGGTAAAAACTGCTCCAGATATCAATTCAAAGGTAGAAACTACTCCAGCAATCATTTCAAATGTAAAAAACTGCTGCAGCCCCTGTTGTAATGATCCATTTGAATATTACCCAAAAGTCAAATTTTATCATTTTTCATGAAGAAATTTAGATACTTTAGATTTAAACTAAATACTGACTATACAATGCATTTACAGTATATTTACAAGTTCTTGATTATTCAAATTTTTGAGAACTGTAATGAAATTGTCACAATGTTAAATAACTACAAACTAACCTATTAGAACTATTAGAGTTTCTCTGTTGTCTGCATACTTCGAACATTATATTTTGTAGTGTTTGGCTAAGCCTTTTCTGAACCCCTGACTGGACGGTCGTATCAGGAAATCATGCAAACGGGCATTAAAAATAGGAGTAGCCTATTAGGGAGAAGACACACACACACCGGCTAAATATGGGGCCTCCAGGCTACTGCTGCAGGATGGTAGAGAGTAAGAAGAGCTGTGAGAGTCCAGAGGAGAGCTGTGCGTTCTGCCTCCTGTTGGTGTCACTCGCGCTCCTCCGCCGCTCGCCGAGTCTCTCCGCGCGCGCACACACGCGCTCCCACGGACTGGCACGCGCGCCCCTCGCTCGCGCGCCTTCAAACCCGGATGGATGACTTCACCGTTCTGCCTGGGTTTCCTTTATGATCCCGGGATCTCCCACTTCCCTCGCCAGACATCAGCCAGCAGCGCAAGCGAGCACAGCTCCCTCTCCAGCCTCTGCGCCACCGCATTTATATCCACACACACACACACACACACACAGGAGACGCACGCACACGCGTTTTACCCACAGCTGCAAAACAAAACCCGGAGACCACAGAGAGACCTCGGACCCCGAACCCCAGCTTCAGGATCCCCCCGCAGGAGACGCAACGGACCCCGGCGACTTTGCGCGTATACGCAGGAGGATCTAAAACTCCCGAGGAAGACTCCCGATTTCGCGCCGGCCATCCCTCTCCGACCATGTCCGAGGTGCTGCCATACAACGAGGGGAAAATGAGCGGCTACGGGGCGGACAGCGAGGTCAGCCAGATGTCCTTTAGCTGCGGACTGCAGGACACAAGCGCCTTCTTCGCTGCGTCGCAGGCGAAAAGACCTCCAAAGCTGGGACAGATCGGCCGAGCCAAGCGAGGTAAAGGATGGTTTAACTCAAGATTTAACTCACACTGCAGGTTTTTCCCTAATTCTGGGTAAAACAAACAAAGAAAAAAAAGATTCATACGATGCACATAAGTGCAAATCTGCATTGCATTAAGGGAGTTAGAATAGGATTAGTAGTGGGTTCCATTATTGTATTTTATCCCAGTATGTATCCATAATATTCCATTCCTCTCCTGTTTTCAATAGCTACGTCTTAGACTATTTACTCCTCTTTATTCCAAGGGTCAGAAGTTACTGACAGCATTCTAACTGTTTACATTTACGCATGAGAAATTATATATGGGCAAGGTTCCACCCCGCAGACGACCGGAAAACAACAGGATTAAACCCTGAGAATGAAGGTCTGGCGCCTGGCTCTAATACCAGAAATTAGTTGTTTGCTCTAGGTGTGCCTGCCTCTGCAGAGGGGATTTGCTATAATACTTTTATTCGTGTATTCAGTCCCTTCCAAAGCGCAGCCACGGCGCCGTCTGACCGCAGAATTAACTTTAGCTCCGTTCCCCCCTCCTGTCGCTTTCAAATCTGCCAAGTGAACAAAAGAGGGGTCCTTCATCTAGAAGAAAATAAGCATTACAGGCATTACAGAAACCTAGGGCTGCAGTTGGAGCCAGTAAACATAATCTGTCCTTTCCTGTCCACAGTGGTCATCGAGGACGACCGAATAGACGAGGTCCTGAAGGGGATGACGGACAAGTCTTCACCTGGCGTTTAAACGCCAACGATGCCTTGAAGACTTTTTTAATTTTTGATCACCGGTTTGAAGCACTTGTCGGCCGTGCATGTTCGAGGATTGCAGGAGGAAAAACGGCAGCTCGTTGCGAGGATGGGCTGACTGGAGAAGGGGGAAATGAGAAGAGGCAAATGGATCGGGCTAGGAGACGAAGTAGAGATGTGGAGGGAGAAGAGGTGAAGAAAAAGGATGGCGGACTCTGGACAAGACCAAGATTTATCGTGGGATTGCTGGCAAATCTCCAAACGAATCCCAATTTGACCACTGCTGCGCAGCGAGGCGTTGAGACGGCTGACGGCGCTCCGCGTCTCGACCTCTGCCCTTTTCAGAAACGATGGACGAACTTGTCGTGACTTCACCACCATCTCTTTGTGTTCCTTTCCACACAAAAAAAAAAGCGCTGTAAACAAACAAAAAAACCCCTTGCGACTAGAGAGGGCGACGCTAAAACCCCCCCGCCCTGTTTCAATAAGTTGTTCAGGAGGGTGGCCTAAGCCCCCCCGGGCTCTCCCCCCCCCCCCTTTTGCTTGCGCGCTCCTCTGGGCTTCGCTTCGTCGGTTCGGCCAGCGACGGTCAATTCAAAAGGAGCTGTCCTTTCAGCACCGGCCCAGAGCATTCCTGTTGCTGCTAACGCTGCTTCTGAAAACAAGACCAACCAAATTCACCCGCTCTGCTAAATAGAGGAGACTCATCGTATGTATAAAGACATATATCCGAGGACGGTGCAATGTTAAGATTTTCCGTAGTAGAACCCTATCTATTTTAGCACTTAAAATAGTGCCCCGACTCAGCTTAGAGACACTCTGCATCTATCTTGTATTACCCATCAGTGGTTTAACGGTGCAGACTGGCACCTTCATGTAGCTGATTTACACCCGCACATATCTTTATTTCCCTCCCCTGCACCCTTTGTTTGGCATTTCTCGAATGCTCAGATATCTACAGAGGCCAGCAGCAATGCAGAGATCCTGGTTAACGTTTTAGGTGACGCTCACAAATTTGATGGGAAAAGAAAAATGATTTGTATGATTTGTTTCTTTTCGTTTTTAACAATCGTTTGTGTGTCATCCTTTATGAATTCAACGTTTTTCTCCATCTATTTGCATGAACCGTCACTCCGGGTGCCAACACAGGTGCCACCACTCTTACCCTGGCACGCTTCTTTTTAAACTAAAGTCATATTTGTATTTTTATATCTAAATATTTGTTATTTAAATTATATGCTAGTCTATCGTCTTACAAATCATCAACAAAAATATTTGTACTTCAGAGAGGATATACCGATTGAGACTGGGCCTCACACAGGTGAATCTAGGATTTTAGTGGTCTGGTCTCGCTCTATATCAAAGGTCAGACATTTTTTAAAGACTTACTGAATGTGTCTGGGGTTTTTGCACACATCAATGTTAAACTATTATTAAGAAATCGTATACTGTGAGTTGAGCTTCGTTGATGAATTTGTTAGAAAATGGCAGTTTTAGAGTATATTGCACTGTTTACGAGTATCCTCAAATAACACAGTGTTATTTGACAGATTCTGGACATTACAGTTTTTGTTTTTTAATTTGTTTTTGTTTTGTTTTTGTTCATTTTGTACCATTATTTTAAAGAAACTGGATATGGTTTGTTGTGCATGAAACCTTAAATATTTTCAATAAAGAAACATTGTTTTATGAAGCAAAAAAAGCAACAAAAATGTCATGACATTCTAAGAATGAGTCATTGTATATTATGATGCCATTTTCACTGTATTTGGTGAATTAATAAATGGTGATGGAAAATGTTAATGCGATTCTTCGACGTGGCTTTTGTCCCAAGACATTCAGTATGCACAATGACAAACAATGAGCCAGAACCACACCTGGGCTTACTCTGCAAATGAAACCGAGACAGACGAAAAAATTAAAACGCGGGCCACGTCATCTCGACACATTAACGACCACAAGTGGCTCTAACATCTTCCAAACAAGGTTTGGGGCTTCTGTAGCTTTTTTTGGAAAGATTCGCCATCGCCTTAGTGACAGTAAATACTGATTCTTAATTAAAGAGTGGAGAAAAAACAGTGATCCATCTGTCGAGTTGTTAAACAGCTCCGTGTTGGCCTACACCAGTGAATCCATTAAATCACTGAGCCCTGGGGAGCAGGGACTGGCCACATGATCATCTATCAGAGTCTGGCTCGCTCTAAAGTGCTCTCACACTGTGGCACACACACAGATGTGTACATAGTCACTTTAGTTGGTTCCCAACTCTAATGTAGCAAGAAAGATCTGTTTGACATGAGCAAAGGTCCTAAAATGCAAAGCTTAGAGTGCTCATTACTATGTTCTTTTCTGGTCAAACAAGCCCGGCTCAATCTAATTTGTTTTTTTTGATGGATGAGATCACGTATTACTCGGCAGAATTGGCTGGAGGACATAACACAGTGACATTAGTGAATCCCTGACAGCATGACAAACTATGCACTTCACTATGTACGTTCAGCTCGGAATATGCCCACACACCAAAGAAACCTGACATAGAACAGACATTATACACTAGTCTTAGATTTTTAGCTTTATCAAGGTTTGGATTCTTCTTTTAACAAATGGAAGAAAAAAAAACTAGTACAAAGCCAGAGACGACCCAGTTTGGGAATTATTGATTTTAGATTTGTGAAATTAGGTGAAAGTGTCCGGTGGAATAAAAAAAAGGCAAAGGATACTGTACTACCATGTTTGCCCGCAGTGTTGGGCAGGAAATTGGGTCAGCCAGCATCACCTCTCTTCCACCTGTGGTACGCAAACCTGAGCAGCATTGATAACGACCCGGGGAAAATTAATTTCCCCGTAATCACCCTTCAATGTTCCTGGAAAACCAAGCTGGATGAATCATAGTTTATTGGTTCAAGAACATCTCCAGTGCCATTACACATCTATAAAAAGCCGCGTGCTCCGACAACAACGCACTTTCATCACTCGGAACTGCACTTGGCTCTAATAGCGGGACATCAACGAAGCGTCACAAGTGTAACCGTCCACATTCCCATCAGCAAGATTATTGACAGTCCCAATAACATCAACACCGCACTGAATGAACAAATAGGGCTATTGATTGTGTAGTAATGGATGCTGCGCTAGTGCGTCTGTTTGTTTGTTGCCATCAACAATTATAGTTTTAGTGGTGACAGACTTATCTGGTGATGAGGTTAATTTTGTCATCTAAGTCTTACGCCACTGTTCCTGCCATGTGTGTATATGAACACAAAACCTAGCACTGTAGTTATTTTATTTTTGTTTACTGGCTGTTGTGAAACTCATTGGGCCTTTTTTTATGTGTTTGCAAATACATCATTCCTAGCTAAAATGATTTTTGACAATAAAGAGCCACTCAAAGAATCACGAATTCTCTTTATGTTTCGGTGATCATCACTGGATTCCTATCAGAGAAAAGGGATGAATGAGGATTTATATAACAAACAAAACGTCTTTACTGCAGAATTGTTCAGTTTCCTGCAATCCACTGGGACAGATTATGTTTCGCAGGATGGGATACGTCCTCAGCACCATGAACAATAAAACTGATCTGTTGTGCATTTCAAAGTGAAATCTAAGTCAGGGGTTTTCCATCAGTGGGTGCTGGTAGGTCTTTTCCCTCCCCAAAGAACAATGATGTGTTATAGCCTGACCTTAACAATCAGAATCCCTACAGAGTTTACACCCAATGCTTTCATAGTAAAGGGACAATATCTGTTTATGTGGGACATCCACAACCATTATTATGCTCCCCGGGAGAGGTTGACCAGCAAAGATCACAACACTTTGCAAAATGACAGAATAACCCAGGCTAACTAGTGAGCAGATACCTTTCTCTCCCAGTAGGGCTGAGGCTCTAAGGGCCAAAATAGTTCCAAAATCAGTCTACTGACAAGACCAATCTAGCAGGTTTCTTCCGTTTGTTTTATGTTCAAATGCTTTGTTATGTGCTTAGTTAAAAAATGATGCAGAAAGTAGGCTCTGTAAATACTCAAAGACAGTATTGTATAATCCATTTAATTTAACAAAAAAGAAAGAAAAAAAGGCTGAGCTTTCCTAATTCATGCATGGAAGATGCAATAAAAAAATAACTTTTTGACTAATCTAATTCATTATTTTTATTTAGTTTGGTGACCAATATTTAACTAGAGTATTCGATAGCTGATGATTACTTTCAGCAATCAGTTTTGTTTTCTGGTCATTTGATAGGATTTGCAGGGGATAACAAATACACAAAACATTTTATCTAAATGTAGTAATGTGTGTGAAGCTGATGGCTTGCCATCCGATGAGGGTCAGGGTTGACCTGACCCTACTCAGAGCTGCGGTCAATGCTGTGGTCAGGCAGGCCGATGGTGGGGAAATGCCCACCATGCCTTCAATAAAAACCAGGCTCTGGACGGCTTCCCAGTGAACAGCCCCCAAAGCAATGGCAGAACAACTGGACGGAGACAGTCGTCACAAACAAATGGGTGTGTGAGGACAGCAGAACATGGTCAGACAGACCACTGTAACTGTCCCTGTGACCTCTGCGGTCAAGCACACAAATACCGCTTTCACTCCACCCTGAGTGGTCATCCATTAATATTCCTCCTGCTGTTACATAAGTCTGCCATCCAATATACAGCATTATTCTATTACGCTGCCTTAAGAGACCCTGGTGGATACACTCTAAAACCCCTACCCAAAACACTGTTGGCTAAAAAGAAACACTTAAAAGGAGTCAGTCAACATGACAGGCATTGAGGATTTTATTGGTTTGTTTTTGTTTTAACTTTAGAAATTTTAAAGGCCCTTACTGGCCTTCAAATAAACCACTTGATTACTCGTATTGTCCACAATAGGTCTAATATGAATATAAGATATTTAGAATGACTGGATGTCTCATGTGAGCTGCATTTGAGACTGGGACAAACAGAAACACGACAAGGCTTATTTTGGAATACTCAAGCACCTGCTAAAGACGAG